AAGGAGGCTTCGACATTACTTGTCAGCGCCGCGTAGATAATACGGGCTATTGGTTTTATGGAAATGTGAAACCGTTTTGTAAAGGTGAGTAGTGACATTGAGTCTCTTGAAGGATACTTTCAGATGAAACTCATTACTCTCGTTTTTGAAATGTTACTAGCTTACTGTTTTTCTTGGCATACCAGTACTATTGTTATTACAGGAACTGTATTTCCTCTAATAGATCTACATCAGTACTTGGTCCATTGAAGCTTAAAACTTAGGTCATGTTTTTTTTTTCATTCTTAACATAGAATTAGGCGCATTATCTTCTCAAATTAAGAATGAAACCCCCCTAAATTCTGTAGGCTTATGTGTATTGAAGGCATTTTCAGTTGAAAGTTGAATATAGACAGGTGTGTATAAATTTGCTCCAAACCAACATTCAATCAAAAAGCTGTGCACGGGTCAATGTAAATGTCGAGTGAACCTTTGGTAATTTTATTTTTGTTACCTGATAGGAATAGGGCACTGCTGTTCACCTCAAGTACAGGCTAAAGTATTTGACTATCAGGCACTGTGTGAGAAGAACTTACATTTGGCTACTTTTCAGTTCTGCTGAGAAAAATGCTGGCAATTTAAAGGAAAAGAATAAAAATCTTACTTTTCACTTTGATAATTGGGGATGGAAATGAATGGATTTCTTTCAAAGAATCTATGAAATGTTGTGATTTATTCTCTCTTTGGAAAGGGGGGGGGGCTACGGGACCAGCCTAACACTTGACTGTCAGTTCCCCAGGATTGGAGCTGCCGCCCACTGTCTGACTATATTATGAGATAGGGCAGGGTGTTTATGTTTGTCGAGCTAACAACAAATAACAACTGATAACACAAAAATACTTTGATTCCAGCCTCAAAAATCAATTTATTCATGACGTGGTCAACCAGGCCCGTACTCCGAGCATCTACTGGAAGTATAGATACTACTATTCTTTAGCGATGACTGGGGAGTTGCGTCTCTTTTTTGGGGTTTACATTCAAATCAAAAGTAAAATCGAAAGTCACAATTTATCAGAGAAAAAAATTTGGACGTTGGTGTTGATATTTGTTGTTTTTTAGTTGTTACCAGTTGTTATTTGTTGTTATAAGTTGTTATCAGTTGTTATTTTTCGTTATCATTAGTTGTTATTTGTTGTGTTGTACTTGTTGTTATCTCGACAAAGATAAATACTGATGTAAGTCTACCTTAAAAACCAAGTACAGGCAACTAAATTAAGACGTTTGTGTTGATATTTGTTGTTATTTTGTTGTTATCAGTTGTTATTTGTTGTGATCAGTCGTTATTTGTTGTTATCTTTATAAAGACTAATACCATATGAGATATGTATTACTCTAATGAATAACTCAGTAAAATTGTAGACATGAAATTTCACCAGACTGTTAAGAATATGTTTCCCTATTTTATAACACATTTTCATTGAAAAATAATTTGGCTTGGTTCTTTTAGGTGTAATCAATTATGCAATAGTAAATTTTGTCCACACTCGTTTCTAACAGAAAAAAAATTAGATATAGGTCTACTTTTAGAGTAAATTGCTCCTCAATACTTCTTTAACTAAAACTTCTACTTTTGTTTCTTTTCAGAGAAAGAGTGTGCGGCCATACAAACTCCTACATATGGTTCGGTATCTTGTGACGTTATAGTTGACAGGCAGGTATGCACCTTACAGTGTCGGAAAGGCTATGCATACCCAGTTGTGGCGGGGCAGGATCAAGGATACTTTGTTTGTAACAATAAAGATGGAGAATGGAATCCAAGAGTGATCAAGGCAGAAGTTTGTCAACGTATGTATTTTGTGTTTTCATGTCTTCCCATTTTTATGTAACTTTCTGAGTTTCTTCAGTTGTGGGTGCTTGGAGGATAGAATTTGTTTAATGTATATAGGCTACTTGTTTCCTTTCTGTTGTCTCTGCTGTCTTTTATCCTGCTTTTTCCAAGTACTGAATATTTATTTTATTGAAACACCATTTGTGTTGCAAGGTGGTGGAATCAGGTGCTTGTCATTTTTTTGGCATATGGAGTTCTTGGTATCATCTTATAGCTTGTTAATTTGTCTTACTTTATATGAAAACTTACCCACCAAACTTGAGTAGAAGTCGATATATATTTTTTGTGATTGAAGAAGGGGGGGGGGGGGGGTGGATGGTGTCAGAGGTAAAGTTAGCAAGAAAGTTTGGTGACTTCCAAAGCTTGATTGTCCTTGGAAACTGCAAAGTTCCTTTTTCTGTGCCTTTGATCAACTTTTTAAGAGTAAAATCCACACTGAAATGTGTTTTTAAATGGATTTAAAAGGTGTTGAGCTGAAAAATATGAAAATTATTTTAAATTGCCCTATGGCCAGAAAAATGTTGGTTTCACTTCGATGGCTCACATTTTGTTTGTGTGCTTCTAATCAACTCAAACAGTTGAGTGTTATGCTGCAGTGCAGTCTCTCATACATGAAGTGCCCAATATAGATTCACCCTCTTTCCTTTCCTTTTCCTCACTTTCCTTTTATCATATCTAAGTGTTTATCTTCAATACAGTCTAAAAAATATTTGTTTACCAAAGTCTATCTTGTCTTTACCTATGTCTTAAGTATTTCAGCTTTTTGTTTTCTGTTGAATGTCTTCCACCAAACGTCTTTCGCAATGTATTTCAAAGGTTTTTACTTCTATAATCAAAGCATCATTTCTTTTTTCCTCTTTTTTTTCTCATAGGTGGACGTCCTGCGAGCAACACAAAGCTAATGTCTGACATACATTACTACTCAAACTCATGCTTTCCGAACAACAAACAAATCAAGGAGAATTTTATCTCAATTATTAATGATTCAACAGTTTTTCAAGATCTGTGCGGAAATTATAATGTGACTTGTGAAATTGATAATGTTGAAATAACTTGTGGGAAAAGAAGCAAGAGATCTGCTGATTATGAGGTGCTCAGGCAAAGAAGATCAGCTGCCAAGACAAGGACTCTCGTGAGGAAAAAAAGGAACACAGACACATATACTCAAGTCACAAAGGTCAGAAAAACTATGATTTTGTTTTGCTGTTGTTGCTAGCACTGTTTCTTGAGTGGCATACTGGGTTTGCGCCTTCTGTCGTACCTTGGAGTGATGCATATATATATAAGTGTTGCCTTTATGGTAAATACTCCCAAACATAGTGGGTTTTGTGGGTTCTTTTGGTTTTTTTGTTTGTGTGTGTGTGTGTGTGTGTGTGTGTGTGTGTGTGTGTGTGTGTGTGTGTGTGTGTTTGTGGGTGTGGTTGTTTTTTTATCTGGTGCAAAATACTTCTTATTTATTTATCATTTTTGGGTTTTTTATTTTGGTAAGTGTTTTACGGAGCTCGCAACTGCATAAAGTCATATGAGTGCTAGGTGTTTAATCTTTCTTACCATAATAGTAGGGATGTGACTGAAAGACA